CATTTTAGAGTAGAAAATGGGTAAAAGTTATTTTTTGTTACTCTTGCTTTCTATGTCCTATTGGGAAGAATGATGTTCCCTCTGTTCCTGTTCTCATGACAACTTGAACTTTGTCAGGACAAATAAGTAAATCTCCTTAACAGGGACACATAAAAAAAAAAAAAAATGACATGGGGTTTAACGGCTCACCATTAAAAACTTAAAAAAAACTAAAATTTGGGTTTTAAATAAGTGTCATGGATTGGGGTCCAAAGGGTACAAGGATGAGGGAGGCTGGCCGATGTGCAGGTTTCCCAATTCAAGCATCAGATGTAACTAATGTGGGACAGATCTCCCATCAGTTCTATTTCCTCTTGTTTTCTACGTCCCATTGGGGAGAATGATTTTCCCTGTTCCTGTTTCGGTGACAACTTTGTCAGGACAAAAAAGTAAATCTCCTTAACAGGCACACATTTAAAAAAAAACAAAAAAAAAACTGACATGGATTCTAATGCCTCAATACTCTATCCAAAACTTTTAAAAAATGTAACCACTTGCCATCCAGAGCAATGTCTTACTATTTGCACGCACATGATACAATATGAATTTTTTACTAGAAAACAGTTTCAAACCCCCAAACAATTATATATTTTCTGAAAGTAGAGCCCCTGTAGAAAAAAAAATTGCTAGTTGATGTTTTTTACGACATGCAGTATTTGCGCAAATGTTTATCAAGCCAGTATTTTTGGAATAAATTACACTAAAATGAAATTTAGTGCACAGAAACAGATAATACCCAATAATATAATACCCATTTTTTTGGTAAAATATAAAAGATGGGGTCACAACGGGTAAATAGATACCAAATATGTCAAGCTTTAAAAATTGCGTTCGCCCGTGAAGCCGCAAAAAACTGCAATACCAAACATTTGCCATAGGGGACATTTTAAAAGCTTTTACCGCTCATCAGTTTAGTGCTAACAGTGATTAGTGGCCGTAGAATTATTGCTCTCACTCCAACGTTTGCGGTGATTTGTAACATGTGTAGCACAATTTTTGTTTTTACACGTAGGTGCACCGATGGCGTGTTTGGATATGTATGTGCATGCACATGGGGTGCGTGGAACTTTTTTTGCATTTTTTTAATGTAACTTTTATTTTTTGAAACCCTTTTGTTTTGTTTTTTTACACTAACTGGGGGCTTGTTAGCCCCCAGTTAGTGTAATGGAGATATTTATGGAGATATCAGGGATCATTCAGCCCCCTAATGTCACCTAGCGACCCCAAAAAAGCTGAGGAAGCAGTAATCTGCTTCCCCAGCTTCTTCTTCTGGCTCTAAGAACCATGGAATGTAAACAGTGGCAACGGAAGTGATGTAATACACATCACTTCCGGGTCCAGTGATCGGAGGAGAGATCAGTATCTTCGGGCGCCACCATCTTGGTGTATTCAACAGTGGGTCAAAGTAAGTGCACTAGGGAGACTAGCACATCATCCCAATCAAGTCCAAACACAAACTGACTGCTACAGGCAGGGTCCATATAATTGTTTAGCCAGTCCCTAGGTAGTTCTATAGGCTAGGACATGCTATTTGAGTATCTATATGCAGTTCATAATTCATACTATCATAAGAAATAACTATAATCTCCCCACACTTATATGTTGGATCTTAAGGATCGCGCGTCGTGTACCTTTTTTCTGTGATTGCCGCGCGGATGTCACCCCATTGAAATGAATGGGGCCTCACAGCAATCGCGGCCTGCCTTGTGCAGGACCGCACGATCCCGGGATGCGCGTTCCCGGATCGCATACGCCTGCACCGGGCCTGAGTCCCGAGTCAATCCCGAGTCTATGTCCAGTGCGTCCTATGTCCAGTGTCCAAAGTCTCTACTGGAGGGCAGGCTCATAAAGAGAATGCTATCACACAGGAACTTGTTAACCTGTGTGATAGCAATAAAGTTAAAGTGACATTAAATTAAAAAATGTTTCCCTCCCCCCCAATGTTAAGTAAAGCACTTACCTTTAATGATATCTCTTAATCTGATCTTCTTTCCTGATGTTTTCATCTGTCCCTCCAGCGCTGCGGCGGGTGTCCGATCCAGCGCTGACTCCTCTGAGCTTGCTGGCACAGCCTGTCCCACAGTGTCTGCATGCGGGTGTATGTGTCCATAGACTTACCTTGTGTCTCTCCTCGCGTCCCGGCCGAAAATGTGAACTGTGCATGCGCCCACCCCAAGATGCTTTGTGGCTGCCCGAGAATTTTCACATTTTCGGATGGGAGCGCGCGGGGAAGACACAGGTAAGTATTAACCCTTTTCAAATCGTTTTTGTTTTTACACTTTTTGCATATATCTACTGCTTACTAGCAGTAGATATATGGAAAAAAACCCGGAGGGTTTAATAACCCTTTAAAATAAATAAAAGTAAAAAAGTAAAGAAATTAAAATGAAAAAAATAAATAGACATATACTGTAGAAGAATAAAATTGTACTGTGTACCTACAGTAATAGTAAACCATTTGGGACAAAGGAGGTGCAACAGCTCATTTGTTTTATTGAAAATGAATTTGAAACAGTTGGATTCATCGAAAAGCATCAAGTTTCACATTCCATTCCTCATTTCAGCATCATGGAAGTTGAAGATTGCCACATGGTATGAACCAGGCAATATATAGAGAATAAGAGCCAGCAAGTCCATCAGCCAGCTCCAGACACCAGAAACCACAGCATATCCTACGACATACAGTGCAAGATGAGGTAAAGGGATTAAACTCAAACATTATCATATCAATCCCAAATTAATGTTTTAGATATAT